AAAAGCCTGCCAGGGGTCCTGCTGCCATCTATTCGATGTTTCAGGCTTTAGATTGGATAACGTTTTCTCTAATGCTCTTTTCAGTATTAAATTATCTATCTATTGATAGGGTTTATGTCTGGTTGACAAGATGGCCGGACCATGACTCCAAAATTCTCTGCAGAAGAAGCTATCTACTGTGTGCTATGTACTAGTGCATTCTGTTGTTAGAATAATATGTAATCACTAATATTATCGTTGATAAGGTTTCGTTTCGAAAATTTCAAAGTGTTTTGCTCTGCTTTGTTCTGATGAGGGGTAAAGTAGTTTTACAACCCATTCCACTTTTACCCAAATCCCTCCTAGCTGTCTGTCTCGAAACGTAAATATATATAATAATTTTTTTTAATGAAAAAAAATTAGTTTGATGGTCTAGGCAGATTAATTATTAATTCGCACTGAAGTGAATTACATTTATATTTATTTTTGCTATAAAATACAATTGAGCTATAGTTATGCACCACTGCAATCGACATCCAATCCTATTTGTTGATAGATAAATTTGAATAAGCATCAAGTATATTACTTTCATTTGTTGTATCACCCGTATAGGTTATATTAAATTTAATCTGAGCAAAATGAACGTAAATTGCTGCCGATACTAGTTGTGATCTCCACTGTCTTAAAAACATTGTGGTTAAATATACAAGTACCTATGTCCTAAGAATATTCGCCAATCTATTTGACACAGACAGAGCAGCTGTCAATCTTTTCCAGTCGATTACATTATACTGGACTAGAAAGCCACAGCAGAACGAAAGCATTTGTAATATCGAAGGGCAAAGATGTAAATAAAAATCTATAAACAAGCATTCTCCACAAATGCGTGAGATAAGCTTAAATATCCGCAGTTGTCTTCTGTTGCCGGAACCTGCTTCTGGAATGATTAAGAAAAAACTCACCTTACACATTTTTATTACTTACCACAAAGTCCTTAAGTTTCCCAATCATGAAAGGCCTTTGCTGGCATCTAGAAGGGCACCGCAGTGGAAATCGTCTGACAAAATAAACCTTCCCTTCTCTCAAATAAATTAATTTTAAAATTTAATATATACGAACAGGCCTACCTCTCCACTCCTCTAATTAAAAGTCTTAGCGCCAGAAACTTCCCTTATTTTCGCTGGCAATAAAACAGCCTATAAAAAAACTCACGAACCCTTATTCTGGCCACGTTTATATCATAAGCGCATTGCTGGGTGTATCCCTGGAGGATTTACGGATCTGCATCACTAGTCATGGGTGAATTACGGTAATGAGACATATTAATATAAGCTTACTCACTAACAAAAAAAAAGACATTGTCTAAGGACGCAATAATATTTTCAAAATACCTATAAGGCAAGTAAAGGGGTTTTGTCGCGTCCTTGAGTGTCCTATTAATTTCAACTTTGATTCACTGGTGAGAAATTGGGTGGAGGTTGGGAAATTTTCCGATCTGTTATCATTATAAAAATACCGTAGACTACCTACTGTATGACCGCTGTTTGAAATAATATTTATCTAGAGCAGTAATGCTTTTGTGTAAAATGCAGATTCTCTTAATTCATGAAATTATTCCACAAAGCATGTACAGAGTAACAAGGGTACACGGTTTCATAATAAAGAGCCATGGAGCGACACTCTGTCCTTATCTCAACATTTCTTATGTGGAGGGATTCAACGATTTATCTGTATAACACCAGGCTGAGTCGGAAATTCTCCACTGAAAGGTGAATACGGTTTTCCATACATTTTGGTAGTAAAGTTAATGCGTACGAGATCTTCAAAATATGAAGGTGAGGTTCCAGTGACATAGATAAAATCTGCGACCTGCTTCCACAGAAAATATCTACAACTATGAATTCAGCTTCAATATTACTCTATATACACAAAAACCTGAGTGAAAAAGTATCAGCATCTGTATTAAATATTATTAAATACAAATATTAAGCGTTCAGTTAAAAACTGCAGTCAACCTAGATCGGTGAAGAGAAAAGTTACTTATTTTTTTGCGTTTGTGTATGATAATGCAGTCACCTACGTTACGTAATTGCAGACAAACAATGCAAGTCAAACATACAGGCCCGTCGTTTTCGAATCTATTTGAATTCGTTGGTTCATAGCGACAACCTTTGCCTTTCGCACCAACGGTGGTCCACTGACTCATTCATAGACAGGCTATTGAGACCCAGAATATGGTTGAAATTAATATCAGAATGCGGGGCCTCTTCTCCCTCTAAATCCCGTTGCCTAAGTCTATGTTAGGCGTGGGAAGTAAAAATGCTTGAGGGAAACTCATAAAAAATTCAGTACCTTCCAAAAACAGACGCAGCTGATGCCGACGAGGACGGACGATGTCGGCTCCGAAAACGAATGCAATTATATTTTTATTAAGTTGAGAGGGAAGTTCCATTACGGACGAAGTTTTGATGGGCGTCATCGTTGTGGGGATAAATTAGTGGCCGGGCAACTTCCACCAAATTGGAGGATTGAAGAGCGTTGAGGGTGCTGCCTCTCCTAAATATTACATCATCCTACTTTGTTGTTGGGTATACCCGACCTATCTGCACGCGATTAACCGGACTATTGCTTTGTAACGCGTAGAGACACGTTCATCCTGAAACGATTATCTTTCTGAGGGGTAGGGTGAAGTAAAGACTAACACAGGACTTTGGAGGAGGCAGCAAACTCGAACAAGACCTTGACATCCAACTGTATGGTATCCATCAGACAGGTGAAGCAGTATCTTATGCCTCTTGCAGCTGTTTGCAATTGCAATGATTATACCACTTATACCACTAATCACGATTATTAAGTTTGACCACACAATTCATAAGCTCAGTGGATCAGACGTTTGTAATAAGCCTGCTTCTACATCACATTGTCTAAGCAAGGTGAGATTTGTGGATGCAGACCCTTGCTAATGGCATACTACTTCGCTATGTCCGTCCGATTATTTCGTGTGGCACAGTCGCCTAGGGATATTCTTCAGAAACTAGCAGAGTAATCACCATGCAAAAAGGGCGGTCAGGTGAATTATGGGAGTAAATATACTAAATGACATATAAATCCGAACACCCAGTTTAAATGGTTTTATTTCAATAAAAGTTGGTGAATGTATTTATCTTACTGTAAATAACAAGTGAAAAAATTTTCAGCCTTATCAGTTGGACATTCCGGTTTTTACACTGCTTTTTTTTAATTCACTAACGCTCTAAAAATGAATATTTCAGCCGCAGTAAAGAATCAACGTAGGCGGATTTTGGTTCTTGACATCCTTTACGATCGGTTACGATGCCTAGAGTACGGAGACCTGTACGATTTCGTCAACTTAGTGAGTTTGATAGGGGCCGTATAGTGGGACTTCGGAAAGCTGGACTTTCTTTTCGGGCAATTGGAGTTAGAGTGCAAAGAAGTGTAGAGACTGTGGTTAGATGTTGTCAGGCATGGCTTCGAGAAGGCCGTACGCAAAGAGCAAGGGGCACTGGACGCCGCCGTAGAACAACACAGCGTGAAGATCGCCGCCTAAGATTATTGGCCTTAAGGGACCGTTTCTCCACTACCAGGTCCATTGCAAATGAATGGTTTGCAGAACACGGAAGACCTATTGGCATGCGAAGTGTTTACCGACAAATGAGAAGTTTTGGCTTGTTTTCATATCGGCCACACTGGGTCCTCCCTTTAACTCGAGAACACCGACGTAATCGCCTTCAGTGGTGCAGACAACGGTCACTCTGGGATCAGGAATGGAACAGTATTGTCTTTAGTGACGAGTCTCGATTTTGTTTAGGCATGCACGATGGTCGTGCCAGGGTTAGAAGGCGACGTGGTGAAAGGAGGAATCCACAGTTTTTTGTTGAAAGACATGTTCATCACACTGTTGGAGTTATGGTTTGGGGTGCTATAGCTTATGGTTCCAGGTCACCTTTAATCTTCATCAGAGGTAACCTGAACGCGCAGCGTTATATCCACGAAGTTCTAGAACCCCATTTTTTACCCTATCTTGATACCCTGGCAGATCCAACTTTCCAACAAGATAATGCCCGACCACATGTTGCAAGAGTCACAATAGACTTCTTTCAACATAATGATGTCACATTGTTACCATGGCCACCAAGATCTCCCGACTTATCCCCAATTGAGTACGTGTGGGATATGATGGGTAGGAGATTGCTCAATTTGCAACGTCCTCCTTAGACTCTAGAAGCACTTCGAGAGGAGTTGGTGGTTGCCTTGAATGAGATACCACAGGAGGACATTGACCACCTGATCAGAAGCATGCCTAGGCGCGTTGGAGAATGCGTGGCACATCAGGGTTCATCCACACATTATTAAAGGTCAAAGGGATTTAAAGCAGTGCAATCATTTTGAAATTTCTATCATTTACTTATTATGTTTCATTAAGTACTTATACAAAATTTTATTAAAATAAAACCATTTAAATTGGGTGTTCGGATTTATATGTCACTTAGTATAGAAGAACAAGTTGTAGGGAATATTTGAAACAGCTGGGAATATCAACAGTTTCGCCTATTCACATCTTAGAGCTGCTGATGTACGTGAAAACAATTTGGCAGATTTTCCAAAGGTAAATGATGGTTTTCAGTCAGAAAGTTGCTTCTTCTACAAATTCCCCCACATAGATTGTCATCTATGAAGAACACCCCAAAGCTACAAAATTGTTCAATAGATTCCCGGACGCTATCAAGAGCTCGCCATTGGGACTAAGAACATGGTAAAAATTCTGCTAAAACACAAGGCTTACTACTCTACGAATCAGTATTTTGTGGATAGAATATCCGCTTAACAATTACGAGGGATGTCTTTTAAGTTCTGCATATAGAAACATAGTAGGCCGCGCGGATCGAAGGTCAGTACTGAATCTTAACCTCACTATTTAGTAAACTTAAATTCAAAGTTTCACAATTCGTGCAGTGTTCTCACTACAATGAATTTCTAAGTGTCACCAAATTATTAGAAAAATGCAACTCAACCGAGAATATTTTCGCGTCATACTTTATTACAACTTTCAGAGACAATTACCGCAACAAGAATGCCTTGCTGAGTTGCTGTCTGTTTTCGGCAACGAAGCGCCACATCAGTCGACAATTTCCCGTTGGTATGGAGAACTCAAACGTGGACGGGTGAGTCTGAGCGACGATCCCAGGGTGGGTGCTCCAAAAACGGCAGTCACCCAGGAAAACGTCGATGCTGTGCGCAAACTCATCATTGAAGATAGACATGCGACATATCGCGAGATTGAGGAGTCCTTGAAGATCTCAAAGACCTCAATTCGAAAAATGTTTCATGAAGAATTAGGAGTAAGAAAATTAGTTTCTCGTTGGATACCCCACTTGTTCACTAAAGAGCAGAAAGCAGCCAGGGTTAATTGGTGTCAAAAAACGCTTCACCGTTTCAATTCCGGAAACGCAAAAAATGTGTACAGCTTGTTAGTGGTGATGAATCGTGGATTTACTGTTATAAACCAGAAAATAAACGACAGCCGGCTGTTTGTATGTTCCAAGGTGAAGAAAAGCCAACAAAAGTCATCCGTTCTCGAAGTGCTTCGAAAAAGATGGTCGCGACATTTGTGTTAAGAGCGGGTCATATTGCAATAATTCCCCTTAATGAGCAAATAAATGTTACTGCGGATTGGTATACCACCATTTGTTTGCCAAAATTAATCACCGAGCTTCGAAAAATCAACCCCGAAAGAAGAATCATCCTACACCAAGACAATGCAGGCTCGCACACTGCCCAAAAAACAAGGCAGTATTTAACGGAAGAAAACGTAGAATTATTGGACCATCCTGCATGTAGTCCCGATCTAAGTCCTAACGGTTTCTTTATTTTCCCGAAAATTAAAAACAGACTGCGTGGTCAAAGGTTCCAGTCCCCAGAAGAAGCAGTTGACGCATTCAAAAATGCCGTTTTGGACCTGCCAGCCAACGAGTGGAATAAGTGCTTCGAAAATTGGTTCGACGCAAAATCATTACGAGGGATGTCTTTAAGTTTTGCATATGGAAATAAAACATATATATATATATATATATATATATATATATATATATATATATATATACAGTTTAAATTTTTTATTTTCTGACATCAGCTGATGGTCTACCGAGCTAATAAAGATTCTAGTAGAGAGAGACAATACTACTAGGTGATTTGAAGTTCTCGAATTTCGGCTGATCAATGCATCCAGGTGAGATAGCTAAAATGTCATTCAAAGTGATTTCTTACATAAATCTCGCAATAGATATTTTTTTCCGACAATTTTGCGAAGCTAAGGCCATGCGACAATATTTGACGCGTTCGAGATTTTTTCATGGTTCAGCAAAAAGTCAAATGACAATGCAGGAGTATTCATTTCTTCAACAAGAAACCACGCATGGATATTGATAGCTTTTCAGATCAAACTGTCTTCTTAGGAACTCATTTCGATAGTAAGTTAAGCTGGCAACCACAAATAAATCACATTTGCAACAAAATTAACAGTGCTTATTTTGCAATATTGAAATTAAAGCCTAACATCCATCTAAACTCACTCTTAGATATGTACTACGCGCTAGTTTATTCTCACCTCACTAACAATATAATCATATGGGGACAGGCAACAATGATTAACAGATTATTCATCCTGCAGAAAAGAGTACTTCGATTAATTTTTAATATTAATAAGAGGGACTCTTGTAAAGAAATATTTAGACGCTATAATCTCCTTACATTAACTTCCATCTATATCTACAAATGTGCCATCCTCGCATTTGAACAAAGCAATAGATTTGTTCGTAACAACGCCATTAATAGTCTAGAATAGGGCATGATCTGAGTATACCGACACATAACTCTGCCCTATTTCAAAAATCTCCCACTCTAGCGTGCACTAAGGTATACAATAATCTGCCGAGTGAGTTGCGGAGAAGCACTAATATCCTTGCGCTGAAAAAACATATCTGGTTGAAAAATGCTATTACTCTCTACATGAGTTTTACTAACACATGAAAGTATCTGTTTTTTAAATTCTTTTAAGCTGTTAACCATTTCGTTATCAGTGAATTGTCTATTATCGTGGAGTAAATGTATTTTAATTTCACTTTTTATTCGAGTTTTAACGAAAGTATGTATGTTTTCTTTTTAAGCTTTTAACCATTTGTCCTCACTGCTCGATGTTTATTGTGTTTATATATTATGTATTTCTAACAGATTCTCCTACCGCTTTTCTTTTCTTTGTATCAGCTTCAATGATTTTTACCGGCTAGACGAACATTTTTTGTGATAAAAAAAGTCGCTGTATATGTATATATTTTTACCGTTACAGATTACGATTCTTGCACTGTATCTGTACCTATAATGTGATTTAACCTTTTAAAACGTTTTGTAATTGTAATGTCCTTATTTATTTTATAATATAAGTATTTTTCTGGCATATTTGCTCAAACGCATATATGACCCTCAAATTGATATTGACAAGTCTTATATCATGTAACATGATCTAATATTACAATAAACTATCTATCTATCTATCTCTATCTATCTATGAGTTGCTTGAACATATTTACTTTCTTCTTCGTTATTGAGAACCTTTTCCCAACACCCGCCTTAAAATCATATAACTTAACAAAAGTGACAGCATAGTGACAAACGATGACAAATATCACAGAAATAAAATTTTAGTGCCGCATGCGAGAATATGACGCATGCGACATTCGAGACACTGGCGCCCATTTAACTAAGCTTGTGGCCAAAAGGCATGTGGATCTCAAACTCAATCACTGAGAAGGCGTCTTTGAAGAAATAGATAGATAGAAATATTATTGATTTCTGGTAAATTATCACTCAAACTGGAGAAAAATTTGTTTGTGAAAGATGACCTTGTTATTCTCATATTAAATCCAGAAGTACGTTGTAAATCACTTGGTTTAGCTACAAAAACTTTTTCCATTTGCGTTCGGTCACTAAATTATCGACAATATTCATATATTGCACCAATTAAAAATAAGCACTTGCGCCACACTCCAAGCATGGATACAAATCTGATACAATATTTTATTGAATAGTGTGTCACACTTGATGTACAAAGCTCTGCTTGATAGATTATTTGAGGCCCTAAGTATAATTACAGAATGCTTGCCTTTTTAACAAATATTGAGTACATAATCAATATCATCACTATACTACCACCCTGACGTCCATATGCACGGAACACTATGAGTCAGGTTCCGATCCAATTACATTTTCGGAAAACGAGGATTGGTTTACATTTCCGACAATTATCAGTCACTACGAATGGAGCCTTCAAATTATTGCTAACATGGACAATTCTATCTCTGTCCAATATAGCGGCTTTTCTGTTTTATAACAGCACCGATGAAATAGAAAATGGCAGACGTCAACCAGGTGAAATAATGAATGGAATACTCGATGACATGCTGAAATCCATCGAGCGTGTGTGTGCCTCAACTATCGGGGAATAGAGTTCAAAGGACCTTGAGTGGATGTACAGAGGATTGAACTTGCGGTGGCGATTTAAAATTTACAAACGACCAAGCCCACTGCCATAAAGCCGAAGTTGATGAAAGCTACCGCTGGACATTGAATATAAAATAGCATAGAATTCTACGAAAGTATAGGGTCAATTAAGTGCTATAATTTGCAAACACTGACAAGTTAATCTCTCTGTTGTGTTATTGTATGACTAATATTACTTTTCAGAGATTTCTTGAAAAAGAATATTATAGCGTTTAGTGTAAAAAGGACATACCTTTGCCATAGTGGAGAATGCAGTCTTGGTATAAGAATTAGTTTTTCTCTCTTCTTCATCCAAAGCACGTCACAAAGTTACTTGATACAATAGCTGTTATTGCCATTGTGGTAATGCGAATACTGTGTACAATAGGAACAATAAGCATCAGATTTTACTTTTTTGAAACGGTAAGTGGTCAACATAACATAAAAGAATATTTATACCTTTTATTTGCTATTAGACAATATTTTGAGGAATACATTCAATATGTTGGATAGTAACCAATAACCCTCCATGCTAAGCGCAGCCGTGGCAAATGCTTGTTCCGGAAATTGTTACACTCAGTATACAACTTCTTTCCGTACACGTAATTGTACATGCGTTAAGGAATATCTCAGTACCGTCTGTCGGGTGGTGGTACAAGTCCACCAGCGGGCCAATTTATGTCTATTCAACGTCATTCACAAGCCAGTAGAAGGTGCTAGACGAGGCCCAGTCGACCGAGGCGGTACCACCCGCTAGCGTGCATTCGGTTTATTTCTTCCCTTCTCATCGAAACATTATGATTAATACCTCGAGTACTAAAAATTTGGGAGGTGAACTCTCGAAATGTCCGGGTGGAGGGTGGACCCACGGGACAACATCGATGGTAAAGGAACATCCGCGGGATTAGCAGCAACGCAGATGCTCTTTTCCAATCCTTCCTCTATGCTTCTATTGGTGAAGACCAAAATCTTCCACTCTGCCCCGACTAATAGTCTTAGCTTTTCAATCTACGAGGTGCACTCCAATCTGCAGAAGGACGGGGAAGTTGTGGTATTGATCTTCCTGCGCCAAATACGGTTCTTTGGAATGAGGTCAAGAACATGTTTGTAGCTTCAGCTCAACTCCAGACCACCCTCCAAGTTTATTTGCTGCCTCGCAGTCAAGATCGGTTTCTTGAACATCAATCACCCTTCTTCAGAGATGGAGGTCCCCTAGTCGATTACAATGACAGCTCTGGCGGGGCTCAAACAAGACCAATGCATCAGATTGTGCTGTTGCAGCATCCACTTCTTCCCCCATGCTGTAGTAGTCCGCTGAATCCCTTACTGATCACGCATTTTGTCGCTTCCAGAACTGCTGTCCTGTGTCCCCTGAGTAACTCAGACCAGGATGTTGTGGATGTCAGGTCTCGGTTTGACTCGGCAGCAGAAACTCGCCCAGGCTGCAGAATTTGGCATTACGGGCATGCTGACTGGGAAGGGCTGATATCTTTTTTCTCCACCTGCAAAAGTGGTTCTGGTTTAATATTCACAAATATTCACCTCAAAGCCTCACAATGGATTTCAATTGTGTAACGATTATTATCTAAGAATTTAATCTGCAAAGGTTATTCTAGTTTAATAGTTAACAGCCATCATTATCAATCTTATACCTATACCATATTGCACGTATTCGATGAAGATCGCTTATATTATTGAAAAATAGAGAACAAATAAGACTATCTGTCAGTTTTATGCTGCCCTTCCGGCAGTGCGATTCACGGTCGATTTCTCAAAACATATGGCAACAGTGTATGGAATCCTATCTGGCCGTATATATTCAGCATTGGAGGTGACACAGATCATGATTTCCACATAAAAGCAACCCCGTCTGCGTGCCGGTATCGATACATACGAGGACATGTGCACACATACATACAGTATACACAACGATGTTTATTTTTCCTTTTTACAGTCGCGCTTTTGCTGGAAAATTATTCGGAAAATACAAGCTCGTTCGCTCTTTCCTTTCCGCCTCACGTATACTGTGTCCTTGGGAATATATTCATGCGGCATCCAGACAACAGGTTATAACGAACAGATGAATAGTTTTCCATTCGTACCAGCTCAATACTGCGAAATGAGTCTATTTTTGCTTGGAAAGGTTATCTCGCAGCTTTATACTACGAAGATGAGATTAGACGATATTCTACTGCTTACTAGACTGGGAGAAATAATCTAAGTCTTTTGAACTTGACCCAGTTATTCACATACAAACAAGCGGGCCGAATTATAAGACTACCTCTGACGGTAAGGTTTGAGAAGTCCTGTAAGTATTCCATAATCCTCTATCCTGCGAGTTTGAAAGCTCAGAATATCTAAATATTTATTACGATAAATAAGGGATGATCTCTTATTTGATGCAATAAACGACGTTATTACAAAGTGAATTTAAGATGATCTCGAATGGACTCGTCTGTGTGAGGCCAAAGACAGAGACAAGCTGAGCCATAAGAATCAACTCTGAACAAGAAAATGTAGGAGAAATCAAAATATTGTGATACGACGCAAAAAATCGCACCTCCGAGAATTTATAGACCGTAAAAGTTTTAAATGTCAAAAGATCTACGTGGCAGTTATTCTTGAACTTATAAAGACCAAATTGGGTACATGTTTTGACTGGTTCAAAGAGCAATGGCCGGCATTAATTTAAGGGTCCAAAGGAAATGATGCATTCGTAAAATGTGACTGAACTTCTTAACAAGTTGGCGTTCTTATACAATTGTTGCCTCATCTTATGAAGAATTTAGTTCTGAAACTTATTTCACTGCTGTGATTTTTCAAAAGACTTTGTAGTGTTCAACAAAAACAGGAATAACTAGAAGCATGTATTGTAGCTGTGTTGTGAAATTATCGAAAATTCAAATGCTGAAGAGAGTAAATGATACATTTTTGGCCGCAGTAGTAGACTATTCAGTCGCCGTGCGCTGTGCGGGTTCGAATCCCGTCTCAGGAGAAATTTTTCTCTTGGCTATGGATGGGTGGTAGACGGTCTCTGACTGTCGAACGCGGAGGTACCACCCGGCGGATCTCGTAGGCGGAGCCAGAATGTGTGCGTGTTGCATGCACACGTGTTCCCTCGCCAGAGTCCGTGTGGCGTTCCCCCTTTCCCCTGTATCCCCCTATAGCCCCACGGTACCCAATGGGTGTTTAGGCCTTAGGCTTTTGTGTTAGTTGGAGCATAAAAAGAAATCGATAAACATATTTATAATCTCTGCAAACCACTCTTCTGGACCAGCTTGACTAGATGCTACTACAACTTAGAGAGAAACATTGGTTTATGCACGATTGAGCACTGCCTCATTATTATAGTTAGAAACTGATTGAACCACTTATATCTAAATAAATGGACGAGGAGGTATTTGCCTACAAGGTTAGCCTTCACGATCACCAGACCTGAATAACCGTAACTTATTTATTTGCGGAACATTGGAAGGATTTGCTTATTCTTCGCCATTTGCGTCTAGAGACCGAGTTACATTACAGCTAAATGGTAGCAATTACTGGATTGCGAGTTTGAGAATTAAATTTCTGAAAGAAAACAGCGATCATTTTGAGGAACGTAACTTGCCAGTGCAAATTTTGTTACATGTTGCGTAAGTTGCTTGTTTTAGCTTATTACCAGATTGTCAAGTCTGACGTTTAATTTCATAGCCAACGTTTCAATTTTCGGTAATTTTAAATTACATAGCCGTAATACATTTTAGTTATTATACGTTCCAGTAAAATGGTGCATATGTTATCGTTGTATCTTGTTATGATCGTGAAGGTATGCGTCCCCCCTTCCTTCCCTCTCGATGATCAATACTCAATCCGCGATATCTTAAATTCATAATTGGTATTAAGCACGCACGTCTTTTCCATATCTTCAGTTTCAACAATGTCGTAAAAAAAGCGTCATCTAAATTGAATCTGCACTTCCTACGCAACGTCGTCGTCAGTTCATAAACGACAACAGAGAAATTAAACGGATCAAGTCAGTCAAACATTGTCCCTTCTCACATCTTCGCGACAGCACTCACCGTACCACCGCTGCACCAAGTTATCATTCATCCCGTGTATATTTGCTATGCGCTGCAGTACGGATATATTCTTCAGCTGGATCGGTGCGCCAGGCGGTGAGCTTAGACAGCAGGAGTACGCGAATAGAAAACACGTCTCTGTAATCATCTTTACAGGCAAATGTACAGGGAAATCTGTGACTTGTGAAAAATGATCAGGAGCCCCTAACACGCCAGAAAACGAAGCGGTTTTTTTTCGAGTTTTTGGTACTATCTCTGTCGCCACATGGTTTTTCGGGAAGTACGTCATACAACATCGAAAAACCGTAATATCTCATTTTCGATTTTTTGTGCGGTTACAATATTTCTTCGCCCTGAGACGTAAGAGGTGAATGTTGGTAAAATTTCAGCTCCTTACTACTTCCCCTCCCTTGAAAATGAATGAGGTACATCTTAAATTGCCCCAGAATATACGCAATAAATAATCCCACAAGCATTTGGATCGGTGCGCAGACAGTTGTCATGCGGCATCATAAAATATTGAGCAAGTTTGTAGTAGAGGAGCGCGAAGAATACAAATATGGCTTTCCGTCAGGCATCCTTTGGCGAATGAAGATTTGATGATGCGGCGTGTACGAGGTGGTGAATAATTAAGGAGAGGTGAGCCGTTTATGCGAAATAAAGGCGGCTTCGGCTGTCGACGCTACCGGCGAAACGCTACACCCAAGAAATATTTAAATTCATGACCAGGGAGGATTAAACTTTCATAAAAACAACTGCACCGAGTTGCGGGGATGGTTGATGCGGATGTACTAGTTTTTCACTAGTTGTTCGACTGAGCTATAGAGACAAGTTGTTATCTAAAACCACTCTCCTGTTCTCCCATACAAACTTTGATTCAATTAATCTCCAGGTGTTCGCCAGGGCGATCTCACACCGATGTCTTGGCCACTGTTTCTGTTCCATATAAGGACTTCCTCTCCTATATGGTTAATCCTAACAGCCACAGCTTTGCTGATGACATCACTATGCACGCAGGCAATCAAAGTACCATGCTGATCTCTAAAAAAGAGCCAGAGAAGACGGTTAGTAGCGACTTCCTATGTGATGAGGGATCTGGAGGCTTTCACAGCTTGATGACATAGCAATCCGTACAGTTCAGCGCTTTTGGGATACAGACCTTTACCACAACGTATATCTGGTTTCGAAGCATGGACGAGTTCTTCCATGGAGCCACCGAGATTTGCGACAGCTGCTGGGAGAAAAGTTATGATACTTGTGTGAGGTTTTCTCGACATAGCCTCCTCACTGTGCACATGGCCCATATAAGGACTTGAGTACTGATAATTTGTTTGGGGTGCTCCTGCTACGACTACACAGTCCATACTCTGTCTTATTGATCCCAAATAATGTAGGTCTAGAGGCTCTTCACATGTAGGGTGCTGCTGTCTCGACTACATTTTCTATGCTTGTTGCTGTTCTTAGTAGTTGGTGGCGCACAGTATTTTAACTTTTTCAAAATGCCATGTCCACGTGCTTGCTTCCCATTTTGTCTGTCTCCAAGACTAGACCTCAGACCTATTCTTCTCTGAAGAGTTTTTAATGAGCACGAAACAGCTCTGTTTGGGGTTGGTCTTGGTTATAGAGGCGGAAAGTAGACATGTCCATCTCAGCAGTGATTATTTATGGTATATGCAGGCTTGGTCTGTGAGCACTTAGTATTCCATCCAGCGTGATATTGGTACGTGCGACATTTAAGTGCTTAGCGTAGAACGTAGAGTTGTTATGGGCTGAAAAATGTACGGGCTTTTCTATTGTCTATATCGTATGGGATGAGGATGAAGATCAGCTTTGGAAAACCATTGCTAAGTGACTGGCGTCAGATTTTTCACCTGTTTGCGTACACCGTTTTAACCTTCTCATAGACTATACCCACTTGTTTACTTCCCGTTTTGTCTATTTACAAGGCTAGACTTGAGAGTTATACCGGACTGATTAGTTGCTAATGAGCACGAAACAGCGCCGTCTTCAGTTGGCCATCGTTAAAGGGATGGAAAACTAACTTGTTCATTCCAACCATTATTAGGATTCTGCATTCGTGACTGCTACGTAAATTTCGAATAATTTAGTTTTTGAACAAATTTAATTTTGATAGACTGCACCAATTTCGACTAAGCTTTGTTTTTCAGATTTGATACTGGTGGACGTGAAGTGGCAGCAGTGCCAGATTAGCACGTGCCCAGATGGCAACTGTGAGCTTTAACACGTTGCCGTCTAAGCACGCCATACTCTTCTTGAGTTCCTCCGGAGACTAATAAATGCTGGCAAGCTAAAAGGGTGTCTACATTTCCGTACTTAAACACTCTCTTGTGAAAACTATTGCCACTCCATATAAACATATAAATTCTAAAGTCCGACGGCCGGGTTTCATTAAAAGCTTTTTCGTAGGTGATAACAAATTAAAATTAACTCTAGGATAGAGGCTGTAATGAACTTGCTTTGTCAGCAAGTATGCCGATATTAGACTCAGACTGCCTTAGATATTTTTAACGAACTGAGCTTGTCTGTCCAAGAATCTTTTTCTCAGTTCGACTAGCCTTAGTAATGATGCAACGAATTTAAATTTTTAGGTGTCCGCGGGGAAGCGGATACCTGCCGCCGAATTTGCGGTAGCCAATGCTAACACAAATATTCAATTTTCTTTTGTATGTACAACATCGAAACATACTTGAAGGCAAGGTTGCGAAGCTATAATATTTTATGTCTGCCGCGAGTGTGACTGAGCAGTGGCAAAAATCAAAGTCACTCGCGCCCAGGCATTAGACCAGATGGTGACTTCTAGAAATACATCATACGGTGCACTTTTGTCGCCGAGGGTTCGAGCCAAGGTAGAGCAGAGAATCCGTCTCCGACGCTTACACCGAAAATACAATCTCCAAAGATTAGCCGGCGCATGTCATGAAGCTAACAAAGAAGCACAAAACGCCATACTACAGTGTATGGAAGAAAAAATGTGACGAATCCAGCCCGAACTTAAACAAGGTTCTTTTCAGATGCCTCGGTTTCCTAATAATAGCTTAACTAGAAAAACCATAGTAAAACGGTCGTCTTAGTAGCTGACACCCTAATTCAAGGAGAGTTGCCGTCAAGTTATGCAAGTTCACCATTTCAATCACTGGAGCTAAGTAACCATACAGAAATGAATTAAGCAATTCAAAAAATAAGAAAGCACCTGAATCTGATCGAATACAATCCCTTATTAAGGAGGTTGGTCACGTTTCTTTATGTTACATTTTTGGGCCGCTGATTGGATTTATGTGATGGACTGTAGTGGTACATGCCTCAATAATGCTATTACTAGGTTTCAAACACTTTGTTAAAAAATCTAAGAATTTTTTTGGTCCAATTTTTTTAATACTATTTCCAAACTTTCTCGAAAACTATCAATCCGGCCGAGTTCAAATTTCGTGTCCACATTAAGTTAAAGTATGTTAATATCATGAGCCCACTATTTTTAGAAAACGTTTCGTTTAACAATATTATCTGATAACTTTTCTACCAAACTTTTTTGTCACGTCTTGGGTGGCTCATTAACAGATGGTATTTATATTTTTGAACCTATATACGTCTTACCTGTTGTCAAAAGCCCTAACTTTAGTTGTTACAATGGAAATGTAACTATAGCTGACACATGCATTGTGTACAATTTGTGTAGTTGCATACAACCTATCTTTTACTATTGCAGAGCGTCAGTAGTATGCAATTCGCTTTGAACGTCTACACCTATCCTATTTACAAGACGAGGCCGGAACATAATTACATAATCAGACGAACCTACCTGTAAGTGAAGGCGTCGTCGAAGTAAATAGTTCCCTCACTCCCTATGTATCACCCAATTGTTGCAACAACTTGGCTTTGAAGTAAATAGCTTTTTTCGCGGACCTAATCTAGACCATATTCCAAACACAAATAAAGTACCTCCGATATGTTTGAAATGCGCAAGCGCGTGATGTAATTAATGCGGAATTTTTAATGTCCGCGAACAGTAAAACCTACCAAATTCTTTCTGCACAAAAGTAAGGTTAGAGTTTTTGTTTTGCTTTTTATTATTCGAATTTAAGTATTTTTTTATCAAGTCCAGCAAATGTGTCGTCCATTTTTTTTAAAAAGTCTGATAGAGGAGGTACGTTTTTTTTAACCCATCAATAAATAAATAATTAAAAAAATACTATTTTGTTAGATCTGTCAGAGTTTCTGCTATTTCCTTCATGTTCTCAAGACCAGGATGAAGTGGAATCCTTTAAATGGAATTACACCAAGACTCTTATTTTTTGGACCTATATAAAAAATATAGACTTGGTTGGGTCTTTAAAAATTTAAAAAAAATTGTTGGAACGCGTACTAGCGTCACCCCGCCGCGCCGCTACTGGCGAGACGACCAGACAGGTTGCCTAACCTAGAAGCTTGTAACCGCCGTCCTGTCCCCGCGCGTCGCACCACAGAATGAAGTAAGTCGTGAAGAGTGAAGAGTCAGTCGTGGGAAGCAGTCGAAGTACAACAGCAGCCAGCACACGCGCGCGGATCGCGGAACGCGGAAGCCCGATCTACACCTGTCGCTTATCTAACCATTCATGTACATGTAATCAATAAACTGTTCTGAACCGAAGACCACTGCGAGTTGAATTGCTCTGCTTACCTATCCTCAACAGGTTACGTGCCCAGAGACAGTGCTACGGACATTGAACAATTATTGCAAGTGCTGAAGATAATATAGGAAGTGTGTGACTAGTGTTATCAAACATGAGTGTGGCAAAAGTATCCTGTATAGACTCGCTTAGCAGGGATAACTACGACACGTGGAAAATACAGATGAAGGCATTGCTGGTAAGAAACGATCACTGGAGTTATGTATCTGGCGAGATAAAGCAGCCACGGCTAGATGATGGGGACGAAGCATCCACGAGAGCTGTAGAAGCCTGGACTAAAGGTGACAGCGAGGCGATGTCGGACATAATTTTGTCAATAAGCCCCTCAGAAATCAAACAGGTAAAGAACTGTAATACATCCAAGGAACTGTGGCAAAGGTTGGAGGGTATTTACCAGTCAAAAGGACCCGCTAGAAAGGCCACATTGCTCAAACAGCTTACACTGCAACGTATGGAAGAGGGACAGGACATACGATGTCATTTAAACTCATTTTTCGATGCAGTTGACAAGTTAAATGACATGGATGTAGAAATCAATGCAGATCTATTAGCGATAATGCTACTGTATAGCCTGCCAGCCAGTTTTGAAAACTTCAGGTGTGCAATTGAGTCTAGAGACGAATTACCATCCCCGGAAATTCTTCGAATAAAAATTATAGAAGAGTATACTGCGCGGAAAGGCGACGTTCGAGAAACGGAAGGCGCCATGTTCGTGAAGCGGAATTATGGGAAAAATCACGGTCACGCAGGAAATGGCGGACGGGGCAGTGGCGTCTCGGAAGGTACACGAGGCAGCGGCGTCTCGGAAGGTGCACGAGGCAGCGGCGTCTCGGAAGGCAGGAGAACGTTCAGGTATAAGTGTCACAGATGCCGAAAAGTAGGCCACAAGGCCGCTGAATGTCCAGACAAAGGTAAGACTGTTGCCAATTCTTACAAAAGTGAAGCGAACTGTTCCGAACACGTGGGACTCGTTACCGCGGAATGTTATCATGTTGAACAGAATCACAAAAGACTGAAATGGTGTCTAGACAGTGGCGCAACGTCTCACTTATGTAAAGACATTAGTTGTTTTTCTGACCTTGAACGTAGACATGATCATTTGAATTTAGCAAATAGTGAATTTACGGACATTAAAGGTTCCGGAACAGCTAGGTTTGTTGCTGACGTTTTTGGCGACACGAAAAACATCTCACTCCACAAAGCTTTTCATGTTCCCGACCTAAGAGTAAACTTACTTTCTGTTGCAAAGATTACCGATAAAGGATTTGAAGTTTTATTCACGAAGGAAAATGCTTTGATCTATGATAGTAATGGTGATATAAAAGTTGTAGCCGATCGTAGTGGCGATTTATACTACGCGAGAGAAGGCGAAGCGCAGAATAAATCAGCTTTCATTTCGACCATGAATTCTAAAAATGTCAAAGTATGGCATCGTAGATTAGGACATTTGAACTTTCAGGATTTGAATTCTTCATTGAAGAAAGGAAGATTAGGTGGAATAAATATTGAAAATATGCCTAATAATGGGGAACTTAATTGCGAAATTTGCATACGCGGAAAAATGACGCGTTCACCATTCCCGAAGAAGTCCGACAGGGAATCGGAAATGCTAGAAATCGTACATACTGATGTTTGCGGTCCCATGCGAGTAGAATCTCACTCGAAGTACAAATATTTTGTCGAATTCATAGATGATTATTCTAGGTATTGCACGGTATTCTTCATGAAACATAAAAATGAAGTTGTGCGAAAGACTCAGGAATATATTACACTGGTCGAAAACCAAAAGAACAAAAAGATAAAGTGCATCCAATCTGACAACGGGACGGAGTACACATGTAAGGAAATGGAGGATCTCCTGAAAAAGCACCGAATTTCACGTCGCTTGACTTGCCCATACACTCCGGAACAGAACGGTATAGCGGAGAGGAAGAACCGCACTCTCTTGGATACAGCACGTTGTCTAATCATGCAGTCCGGCTTACCTCCGATCTTTTGGGCTGAAGCCATCAACACGGCCAACTATTTGCGGAACAGATGTCCATCCAAAAGTCTGAACGGGTTAACACCATACGAAAAGTGGACTGGAAAGACTCCCGACGTTTCGCATCTCAGAGATTTTGGTTGCAAGGTCTTCTGTCTAAACCAAGATCAGGCCAAGGGGAAGCTAGACGCAAGATGTAAGGAAGGAATTTTCATAGGGTATTCGGAACAAACGAAAGGATACAAGGTCTGGTTGCCGAAGGAGAATAAATTCGTAGTCACGAGGGATGTTAAGTTCTTGGAAAA